GGGGGGGGGGGGTTTGACTTTTGAAAATTGGTTAAATACCGTCCAAAAGGGGTTAACGTTTTTTTTTTTGCTGAAGACAGATAGTTTGTGAAGTTGTGAAACACCACATAACTTACACACTCGCGGTTCGGGTTTACACACACGTACCTTCGTCCAAGAGTCTCTCCAGGTGTGTGAAGATGCCGCACAGGTTCGGTAAACTCGTCATGAGCTTCTTCTCGTTCAATAACTGCATGAGATAGTCGGGACTCGGCCTCGGTCTCTCCTTCACCTCCATCTCCCCGACCATCATCTTTGCACGCAAACGCTCACAATCCTTCCCCCAGAAAAGAAATAAAGAAAACACAAAAGAAAAAAATAACGGTGCAGATCAAATCCCTCGTTCCCCCTCCAGGCTGCGGCGACCCTCTCCGGATATAAGCGCTGATTTTAAGGTGCAGGCTCTCTCTTTCTTTCTCTTTCTCTCCCTTTGCTAGAGTCGCGCGATACGAACTCGCTGGGTTCTCTTCGTTGTACTGAGCTCGCGCTACCGCTCAGGACTGAGGAACCTCCGAGAGCGCCAGACCCGCCTCGCGCGCATTGGCTGTATGCGCGACGCGGACGCGCCGGGTGGCCAATCAGCGCATAGCTCTGGAGAGGCGGGGCTAGTGTTTTAACCACATGAATCAGCGCCTGAGATGATGGACAGAGATCAGAGCCAATAGAATGCAGGCTCGTGAATGCTAAGAATCACCGGCGGGGATGATATATTGTAAAACGCCGTGACAACATATCTGTGACAACAAGTGTTTGCCTTGTGTGTTTTGAAAGGGCTTGGCATTTCATGGTGTGTTGCTTTTTATAATTAAATCGTTGTATGTGTGTTTTTGATTTGCACAGTCGGTTTTGCCGTGTAATGTGATACACTGTTTGAGACAAGAATATACTTCACGCAAGTATTCATCTGCAAACAAACAGCTCCAAAAATTCCAAAATGCGTCGGCGCGCAACTTCATTGCCGTATGTTTTTGGCCGTAGAATGTAAATGCAATTTTTAAAATATAAAAATCTTGTTGGTGTTATTCAGTATACAACGATCCTATAAATATTAGATCGGTGATTCTCAGCCTTTGTGACTGGGAAATATTCTCCTGCATTTATGACAAAGCTCATTTCAAACTTTTTTGTTTCATTAACATAGGTTAACATAGTATAGGTATATTAAATTAATTAATCGTGATTAAATGTGTGATTCCAGAAGTTTCAAGAACTGCATGTTCTTTAATAAAAAAAATATATACTGAGTTAAAGGATTAGTTCTCTCAAAAATGAAGATTTGTCATTGTTTATTCACCTTGATGCTAGTTTAACACCACAGCTTCATGGTTTCTTCATTAGTTATGGATTTATTTTATTATACTTTTATAGGGTTACTTTTATTTCACTAAGTATCAATCCAGTAGGAATGTCATGTGGTATGAAAATGAACCTTGAGAACTTTTTTAATAGCTTTGTTTTTTGACCGATCTTGAGAATTCAAGCTGTTCACATTGAAGAGAGAGAGAGAGAGATAAAAATGAATATAACATCTCCAATCACAGTTTCACATTCATCAGTATGGAAGACACAAATGTGAACAGACGCTAATATCAGCTTGGGACTTCATGCTCAGCTGACCTCCAAATCCTATCCACATGGAAGATAACAGAACACAGGACACATTCCTTCAACTAGAGACATCACACAATAATACCAAATATTTACAATCCAGAAGAGGAGTTATGTTATGATACACTCAGAAAAAAAAGGTATTAGCTGTCACTGGGACAGAGCCCTGTAAAAAGGTACCAATATGCCAATATGTAGCATTTAGGTCCTAAATATACCTGTTAGTGGTAAATAAGGTACAAAGGTGTACCTTTTGAAAAGGTACCACTCCAGTGACTTTTTTTTTCCAAAAATGTATTTTATGGTTCCAGAGTGATTGGCTCCCAATAATGTCCAGATGCACATGAGCAAAAATGCTGAATGCAAGTAGCATTTTTACATATATGGGAATGATCCAAGTGTTACAGACCTAATTTGTTCCATACAAATATATCCATATGATTCACCATGCATCCTCCTATTCACATGACTCATCATCCTTTCTTTAATCTAATTTTTCAGCTGCATCACCTTCTTAGTATAACAGAGTGAAAAAATCACCAATTTCTGAAGGCAGCACAAAAGATTCAGCATTTATCTCGGTCTTAGATAAGAATCCTTTGCTCTTATCAACACTGCCACATTTATTTTCATTTTACTAGGCACCGCATCTGAGACAGGCCACACGTGTCTGCCTGCTGCTTGTGTGTGTGTGTGTGTTTTGTAGTGTGAGATATTAATCCCTGCCCAAACCCTGTATTTTCCTCCTCTATTAATAACACGGGTTTCATTCTACAATTAATCCAATTAACGACACTTTAGATAAAAAGTGAATATGAAATCAGGTGGTTGTGAAGCAGCAGGGAGCAGAGACGGGAGGGAGATGGGGCTTCAGAGGGCATCAGTCACGATCCCGTGGTCAGCGCCAGCAGCTGATTAGAAAAGCAGTAGGTGGCATGACTTTGTCTGGAATATAACGTGAGCTCCCTCAATGCACAGACACTCTTGAGTTATTTTGTCTGAAGAAAGCTTGAAGGCTTTGAGTATGAAAATAATACAAAAGCATAAAACAAAAGCGATTATGTGTGGGTGCAGGAACACCAGAGAGTGAAATCTGGGTCAAAAGAGTGGGACATTCTCAGAGTGTGTGCATGAGTGTCATTGAGTATTTAAGGGAGTGAGTGTAAAAGCATGTATAAACATAACACATGCTGATGACTGTTAAATACACAAATTATTGTATGTGCCGGTCACATGTTGGGTGTTGTTTGTTGAACTGGGGCGCTGACAGCACTGATGGATCCTGTTCTCTCCACCCAGTCCAGCGCAGTGCAGTATAATCTCACCGTGGGCCACCACGTCATTCATGGCTCCCTAGGGGTCTGCAGTGAAGATTACAGCAAACACACAGTCCTTCATCACTAACTCGGGGTCCATGGCCTTTATGCCACACGTGCCGACACACAGTTTCTCCAAGACATACTTGAGTCAATGACACATAAGAATGTTCATGGTAAAGACAAAAAAAACTAAAACTCAAATCAAAATTTATTCAGACACCTTCAACATTTCTCACATTATCACAGTTTATTCGCTATAGTTTAGAAATTGGTAATAAAATATGACAAGAACTCAGAGTTAAACTGTGTCAGAACAAATTCATCTTGATAATGTCATGCAGATAACTTTGATAGAAAGGTATGTAATGAATTAGGTTGAATAGTTGTCAGCTGTTAAATTTAAGTACACAATTAGATAATACCAATTTAGGTCAACCAATTACCAAGCAATGCTTAATTTTGTTCAGTCTGTGGTGTAAAAAGGTTGCATTAAAACGCTTAAGAAAAACATGGTCAGGTCAAAGTGTCTGAATAGTTTTTGGTGCCAAATTTTTATCAATTTTACTGGTAGTCCACTGTATGAAGAATTTTTGGGTATAATATGTCACACTTTATTTTATTTTGCTATCCTCACTTACATAAATGAACTATAGTGTCCTGAACCCACTAGTAAAAAAAATCTGGTGTCTGAATAATTTTTGGTTTGACTTCCTATTCATGTTTGTTCCATTTAATTTTGAAAAACGTTTCAATTTAATAGCTTTTGAAGAATTTTTAACAAAAGGTTTAAAATATTTATTTTTCAAGGTAAATTGTTTAGTTTTTTATTTAAAGTTAATTTGGTGTAATCTCGACCATTTAATATATTATTTATTCATAAATAATGTTTAAAACACTCAGGGGAATTCACAACTATTTTACATTTTGGCAAATTGGTTTGAAAATTTATTAATACGTGCTTATGCTCCACTGAGGGCTAGGTTTAGGGGTGGACATTCATGCTTGCTTGCTTGTTTTCATTATATTATGTTTAAATTATTTAAATTCATTATTACATGAAATAATATTTCATCCTTTTAATGAGGCTTTTTTTAAAGATTATATCAGTATAGTACTTATTTATACAAAATATAAATAAGTAAAAGCACTAGAACATAATACGTCAACATTTATTTTGATGCAGAATTGATATTTGTGATTAATCAAAGTAATCTAAATGGAATGCAATTCAAAGGACTGCACAGAACTGCTGTACATGCAGGTTTTAAAAATACATTTTAAATTTCCAGGTGAATGTGTGTTTATATGTGTGTGATTGGTTCTCATGGTGGTCCAAAGGATAAGGACTGTGCTTGTTTGTGTGTGTGCAGAGCAACGGCAGATGTGTTTGCGTCTGATAAGAGCGTCTGGCTGAGGTAGAGGAGGAGCGAGGATCAGACAGCAGAACCCCGTCGATCCGGAGCTAGAGAGAGGAAGATCTCTCCAGTCTCCTGCCGAAAAACCATCGGCCTCCTGTGAGCCTTCTTCAAAACACACCACGCGCTCACACGCTACACACCAGCACCACTTTAAAGAAACTCACTTTTCAAACAGTCCGATATTAGAAAAGACTGCTCAACGAAACAGCTCAATTCTGCTGCTTGGAGAAAGACAAAATGTTACGGAAGTTCAGAATAGCAAAAATGCACTGATGCCAAGTTGAAAAAGCATTCACAACCCATTTTACTGCAATAATCTGATGTATTTATTACAGAATCTGGATTTGGAAAGATTAAAATAGGGCGGGACTTGATTTGGTCCACAAGGGAAATAATTGGATGGTGAAAAGTGGCAGGGTTGTTACATTTTGTAACATGTTTTTGTTTTCTTCACCACATCTCTGAGGCCTATAGGAATCAATGACGTTTTTGAGTCAAATTTTGGAATAAAGATCAGAGCTCCAGTCCGTTCTGTGGAGTGGTAGTCTGGGGTTGAGAGGTGCGGGGGACACCTGAAGCATGAAGTCACTACGAAATAAATCTCCATTGAGCTCAGGGCTTTGCACATGCTCACTGGCTGGCATTGGGTTTCGTGAGGCCCCTGGCAGATGCGCCGAACAAGAAGAATAGATCCCAGAGGGCTATTTATTCCTGCTGCTCCCTTCACTTTCCCTCCCTCCCCTCTGCACTGTTGCTCCTAACAATCTGGCATTCTTACACTCTAATGTTTTCCCTTCCCTCTGCTCTCGCATCAACATCTCCATCCTTGTTTTATACCGATTTCATTCATCGATTCACCTGAGAGGCAATTAGATCCGAGCCAAATCAGGCAAATGAAAGGAACAGCTGATCCAAAAAAAATTTCCCTCATGCTGTTCCAAACCTTTCTTCTTTAAAACAAATATGTCTCACTGTATTCTGTCCGCTCAAGGAAAGTTGTATTGGACCCCATTGACTTTCATTGTAGGGGCAAAAAAAAGAGTTCACACATTCTTAAAATATCGTCTTTTATGTTCCACAGAAGATAGAATGTCTTACAGGTTTGAAAGAATAAGAGTGAGTAAATGATGACTGAAACTATTCCTCTCACCATCT